TGTTGCAAGTGAACATGTACATTTGGCAAAGGATTACTAGCCGTTCATTACCGCAACGAGTACCGGCCATGGGTTGGCCGGGAAAACGCAGCGGGGGATTGCCTTTGGGCCTAGGGTGTGTTTATGTATGTAGTCTAGCGTTTGCAAGGGATGGCCGGGAAAGAACAACGTGTTGCGTCCCCTGTTTGGCAAGGAGTACCGGCCATGGGTTGGCCGGGAAAATGCAGCGGGGGATTGCCTTTTGGCCCAGGGTGTGTTTATATACATAGTCTAGCATTTGCAAGCGATGGCCAGGAAAGAACAATAGGTTGCGTCCCCGGTTTAGCAAGGAGTACCGGCCGAGGCAGCATTTATGATGGCATAGACTGCAAATAGATGGACATACGTTGTTTATACATCTATTAATATTGCACCTTGTTATGTCACTGCTGTGGCCCATGTCTAGAGGCAAAGGTTGCTGGATACAAAGAAAAAATCCGCTTGGCAAAATTGCCTCCAACAGAAACCGCCGCTGACTGACGGAACACTACCGGAATCTCAAAGTCCATGACAGATGGCAACGGAACGCCAGGAAAGGCAACGGACAAAAAAACACTTTTACAGAAACCGGTGGCTACAAACACCCCCTTGACGGACAGCTCCAAAGCCAAAAAATGAAAGCTGATGTGGCACGAACGGCTATGGAAACCCAGCCCTGGCAAAGTAACGGAAAATTGACGAACAGATTGTTAAACAATCCGTTCGTCAATTTTCCGTAACTTACCAAAAGTTGCGGACTAATTGTACTGAATAGCACAAAGTACAAAGTGCTTCTGTGAACTGCTGTGAAGTACGAGGTAATATTTCTTAATCCATTTAATGAAACACAAACTTTGTGTTCAAAAAAATTACAGAAGTAAATTAACAGAGAAAAAGCTGAGCGGCCACGTCTAGTTGTATATCCATGTTGTTTGTTTCACTTTCATAATAATCGGGTTATAAAGGTTGATGCGTTCTTCCACTCTTGGAAATAGGTTCCAAGGTGCTACACTTGGTTGAATCCTGCCCCTCGGCTTGCCGGTCGCATGTTGAATTGCCTTGCCACCCAATGGTGTCACGCGATGGTTATTTTGCCAGCAATGTACCATGCTGAAGGGCCCATAATTGTTAAGCTACCTAACCTTCATGGGCTAGTGATGATGCCTTAGACCATTAACTAGTTTTGAACCAAAGTCCACTGTTGCAGCCCTGAAGGGCACTGCTGGTTTCCGAAGCTTGTGGGGTCGTCACGCCCTGCGGCTCGGCTGTTGGAGGTCAGCCGGCCCTCTCCACCCAATTTGGTGGGCGGTAGCGGGGCGGTCGTTCCCTCGGATGTGCGGTGGGCCCAAAACGATGGGGATCGTCCCCCGGGGTCTGCTGTATGTGGCGGGTGGTGGTGCAGCCAGACGGTGGCTCGCTGGTCGTGGAGAGACCAGGCAGTGGGCCAGAACGGTTACACGATTCACAGCATGCGCGCGCACAATCCGCATGCGCGATGCCCGATCGCGGGTCCACCGCTGTCACATCAAGACAAGACAAGTCAAGTGCACGTCCAGGCACATCGTCATCATCCACCGTTCACCTACAATCGACCTAATGTCCTCTAATTCCAAGCATCTAACCCTCGACCCCCTGGCCTAAAGTACTACAGTTTTAGAAGGCCATATCTTCGCTGTTTCTTAACGGATTTGGGCGTTAAAGGGCGCGTTGGAACCAGGAAGCTCTAAATAACACTCGCAAAAGTTCAATTTGGCCGATTACATAATTACCACTCCAGAAATGTCAAATAAGCCTAAACCCCAAGCAGCCACGTCACATCCACCCTAGGTTTAAGTGGGGTCCGGCCACTCCCACTTCTGCACAACCTTCGGGCTGGTACACATGGTTGCGGTTTTCATTACAGAGCCTTAAGCATCGCCCAACATCATTGTTCAGGATCACATTCTGTTGTACAGAGAAGTCTCCCCTTGTGTGTACACACCTATGAAACAACCTTCAAGCTCGGGTGGTGGCCCCCCTCAAATACTCCATCGTGGAGAACAGGCTACCACTTCCCATTCCAACTAAGCTCCTCTTGCTCTAGCTCTCCAGCCTACTTGTACTACCTATGCCAATGGTGTTCAATTAGTATACCTCTCCACGATCCATATGGACTTTAGGAGAGTCTGACTAACTATATCTATTATAAAAGTCCTTATCTCGTGATGCCAGTGTTGTCATACTTTAAAGTACTCAGAGCCTGCATTCTTTGCACCCACATTCGCATTACCCATGTTGCCTCTATGGTATGTGTGGATTGGTTTATAGGTCCATCCCACTGATCCGACACTGGTAACAATAGTTTCATGTCGCCGTATTGTTGCCACAAAAACCACTCTCCAAAATAGTCAAACCAATGTAAAAACCTATATTGCAACCCACGATTTATTGATGAACTTTTGCTACTATAATCTGTCCAGGGCGGAATTCTATATTTGGTTTTAATATCCAGATATCCAACATTATTTGGTGTGTCAAATAATTGATATCGATGAGGATGGAACTGGTGAACTTCCCCCTTTTGGAGTTGCCTCAAGAGTGCGCACTACCCTACACCACAAAGCCCTTGGGCGGTGATATTAGGTGTGCCATTCTTTGTTATTGGTTTATATCATTATTGGTCCCTTTGCATGGCATTGCCCATTTCCAGGCAGCCATATGGGACACCCCATTTCATCTGCTATCATCTCCTATAAATTAGGGCCCAATTTTGGACTGTTGCACTGCCTAGTCTTCCACAAAAACATTAGCAGCAATGCATCCCATGCAATTCAACCCTGTTGTAGCCTCTATATAGTTCTTGGATTTCCTGGTTGCATGCTTCAATCATCCTTTGATTCCACTCCACTTTGAGCGGTTTTGTGGTGCTCTCGCCCCCCCTTGCACCTGTTGTGTTGTACGCAAGTCTTTTTTCAAGCTAAAACACAGTCTGACTTGCATGGATTCCCCTTATTGAATTCACCCTGCCATTCACCCTCCCACGCCTACTAGCGGAACCATCCACTCAAGTAGCTCACTTTCTTTTTCATAGTATTGAAGTGGATCACTTGCTCCCCATCCTTAGTGAACATTTGTACTTTACCTTGATGGGTATATGTGAAATACTCTAAGGATGCTACTACATCTTCTGGTTGCGTTGCTCCTTCCTGCCACTCCCCAGGCTGCCGTGCCCACACAGTCACAAATTCTTGTTCAATCCACTGTTTTTAAATCGGTAATTGCGTTTCGGCTCTTTGCAATATGCATGCTCAATGTGCTTCACGCATTGCCCGGTATTGATTACTCATCTCTTTCACCATCCACTCTTCCTCCTACTTAGCCATCACCGGCTCACCCAACAACTCCTCCCTTGTGTTTTGCTTTGCCTTTGCAACCCACAATTAGGCCGAACAATTGGGTATGCCTAAAAATGGCCCTTTCACCTCGTTCATAAGGCGAATGGTGGCTAAATGGTATGTGTGGCAAGGTGATGGTGTGCCACAACAAGTTATAGGTTGCAATCATTTAGCATGGTCTAAAGGGCCATTAATGCTTGGAATACAAAGTAGGTTCTTTTTTTGTTCTGGATGAGGGCGGACCATAAGGGTTGCCCCTGAATCGTGGTAAAGGCAAGCCATTAGGGCATGAGTGGGCAAGGTCTATGGTCAGCACAGAAGGGAGGTGAAAGGAGAGGAAGCGAATCAAGTAACTATGAGTGCACCAGTTTTGTCATGCACAGGGGTCATGACGCGTGGTGATTTAAAGGTAAATGATCATGTGTTAAGATACATTACGTCTGGCTACATACAGCTTCCCACCTAGACACATTCACTCATGTGATGATAGTACATGTTACAACCAGCCAAGCGGGTGTTCCCGAACTATCTCATTTGTTAAGAAAGCGGATGTCTATCTGGTCCTTGTCACAATGTGATGACGCATACTCCCAACGATCAAATCCCCATCAAATGCAATCCCCCAAGGAGTGGGTGGGTGGGTGAAACACGAAGTGGAGATGGCGCCCGCGTGCTGCCTCCAAACTGGCCCACGGTGCAGCCAGAAACCACGGGGAGCACGCGCGCCCCTAGAGCGGCATGTACATGCGAGGTGAATGTGTCCCGTGGGCGTCCCGTTGGCCCAGCCAGTAGGCGAGCATTGAGACCCAATCAATCTCTCCCGCCCGCCTTCGGGCCTCCCGTACACTAGCCTACTCCGCGGACTCCGTAACCAGCACCTCGCACTCAGCATCAGCCATCCTTTCGTCCAGTGGGGCCCCAAAGCCTGGCCAGTTTGAGCTGGCGGTGGTGTCGTAGCGCCGGCGCCTCGCCTCCCTCTGACCTCCTCCCCCACCCACCCCACTCCACCCCCCTCTCCTTCCCTTCTTCGCCTTCCAGCTTCTGCGCCATCCAAACCATGTGCCGCGTGCATTGCCGCAACACTCGAGGGGCGATCGCGCTGCTGGCGCTGCTGGCGCTGCTGGCGGCCGTCGGGGCGCCCAGGGGGCGCGGGGAGGCGGTCGGGGCAGATCCGGAGGGCCAACCCGGCCGCGGCAGGCGCCTCCTGGGCTCGCACAAGTTCAAGGAGCACTGGAGGATACCCCTTTGGGCCAACAAAGTGGGGCCCTTCAGCAACCCCAGGTGCGGAAGGCAGGCGGGGCGCAATCTGACAGCCGCGGGCTCCACAACCGCCCCAAAACAACCCTGCGAGGCCATTTTGGGCCAATGTGTCCTTTTTCCAAGTGTTGTAATTGTGGCAGTGCCTTTGGCCAAAGTCCCCACCACGCCTTTGAAAAAGAAACACCACCGAGATCGGAGTTTTGAAACCGGTCGAGCCAGGAGATGGCTGTCTGATTTGGCTTCCATGTCCCCGCCGGGCCTGCGGGCTCTCGGCGCAGCCAAACGTACGAATACTACGACCTGCCGTTCTGCAAGCCCTCCAATACGCTCAAGTACAAGGTGCTGGGCATGGGGGAGGTCATGGACGCCAACAGGCTGGCGAAGACGAACTACCAGATCTCCTTCAAGGACAACAAGCCCAACGAGAGGCTGTGCTCTGTGGAGCTCACCGCGGCGGAGCTGGCCAAGTTCAGAAAGGTGGGGCAGCGCCCAGGCGACCAGGGCCCCAAGGAACCTGCGCAAAACGCTGGCTGCATTGAAGTCTCGGTTTGGACAACCCTGGGCAGGGTATCTGTTTCCGGAGCTCCCAAATTATGGTCAGGCGACGTTTTTTGCATGCTTGGACAGGCAGTGGCGGGTTTGCGCTACAGAGAGGTGGTTGTGTCTGCTGATTTGGTCAGCACAATGGTGTATCCAATGGCAAACTATGCAAAGGGTCGACCGGTGCTGCCCCCAAGGGCAGCTGGCACATCAGATACCCACGCAGACCCATTTCCATCTTCCCGTGTTGGAGTAAAAACCATCAGCTCACATGGCATAGGCAGTGAAAGGAATATACGCCATCTAGTAATGCCAGTGAACTTTCCATCGCATTGAGCTATTGAATTGCAAAGGTCATACCATGTTCTCATGCGCTGCATCCTCCTCTTGGCCAACCACACCTGACAACATCACCTCATTAATGAGAACAACTTCCAGCTTGTGAATTAGGAGATCCACAGCCATGGACTGAGACAAACACCTTGTGGCATCGCTATTCCGCGTCATCTGATCACAAGAGCAAAAGCAACAGCTTTCTATCTGGAATAGCAAAAGTAGTAACAACAAGCATACAGTCACATTCTGAAGGCATGTGATACAAATTGTTGTTCAGCCTCCACAAGTTTTGCTGAACAGCAACAGCAATAGGGCGCTCCCACACTGCGTTGCCCATCCCATTTTATACCATATGGGGGCAGATGCACAGCGAAGCGGCAGAGAAAGAGTTGGCGGCGCCTGTGTCAGTGACAAGATATGACTGTGTGCTGAGGAAGCATTGGCCAAAATCTGAAATGCCTTTTCCTTGCAACTGAATGGCGATGAGGCACAATGTACATCTTCATTGTCTGCACAAGAAACTGCTCCAGGGCTCCAAACTCCAACAACACATAAAATACAAAGACACAGAATGTGCATAATGAGCACAAAAACGCAGAAAATGAGAATTCACTGTGATGGAGAGCAAACACGCTGTGGCACAGGCAGTCAAAGAGGACTGGTACTATCAGATGTACTTTGACGACCTGCCAGTCTGGGGGGTCATTGGCAAGACCGAAAAGGTGCTGCAAAGGCCTGGCACGCGGAACAGGCAGCTGCTGTTCACCCACATGCACTTCGAGCTCAAGTACAACGGGGAGCACGTTGTGGAGATAAGTGTGCCACCAGACCGCCAGGACCCCGTGGACATCTCCAAGGGTGTGCTGAGCAGGCCACACCAGACTTTGCACGTGGACTTCACCTACTCTGTGCACTGGACGCCCACAACCACAAAATTCGAAAACAGGCTGCAGCGCTACAAGAGGGACGTCGTCAACCCAGTGCACTTGGAGGTGAAGATTTATTCTGGAGAATTCTGACAGGGGAACTGCTGCAAATGCTGAAGTAAAATGCTATATATTCGATAGCTAATAATAAATATATTAGACTATGTATACACAACGAGAGAATGCTGCAATAGCAATAGTCATGCGTGCCACATGGAGGTGAACGCCCGTTCCGGGGAATGTGCCGCTGCTGCAGTACCTTTCCAGCACGCAGGGCAAGGCAGCTTGATGCACTGTCCTGTGGAGAGATTTGTTACCCAGAAATTAAGTCAAGCCTTGAGGGCAAAGTGGAGAGGATGGTGGAGCGCCAGGGGCAGCAATAATGAAGACAATTTTAGGACTGGGTTATCTGCGCACCCCGTCCCAGGGGTAATCAGATGTTTGTTAGACAGGTTCGGAATTCTTGGGTTTTGTGGAACCCTGTGTAACCCCACACTTTCAAACACCTCTGCTCTGGACCTGTGCACCTGTGGCGTGAATTCTTGACTTCCCTCGTCCGTCGCCTCGATTCTGAACGGTTCCCCAATGCACGTCCTTCAACATGGCTCTGTGGCATTCTAACCCATCCCTGCGCCAGAAGTTTTGATCCCTGTGAACCATGTTCGCCTGCAGATCCACTGGTTTTCGATTGTAAACTCCTGCGTCACCGTCCTGCTGCTCACTGCCTTCATGGCGACTATTCTCATGCGCATACTCAAGAACGACTTCAGCAAGTACGCGAAGGACGAGGAAGGTGCGAGAAATGAGGTTTCAGCGCAGTCCCGTAAATTCAGCCATTGACTCAAACTGGGTGCGTGTAATAGTCCACGTCTTGAAATGGGGTCAGAATGCGCGGTTGAGCAGTGAAGTTATCACCATTTTGAAGCAGCCCAGACGACGGATGACAGGCAGACTGTAGCATGCCGAGCACGGATTTGCTGCTGCCGCCAATCGCCATATGTCCCCCTGTCATTTTGTAATGCCCTATGCCTTGGCGAGACGTGTGCTGATCTTCCGTCGAGAGAGAGACTGCGTCTAACACAAAATAGAAGACTGGTGAAGGCGGACTTGCAAACCCCAGCGCTTCTGGCCATTCGCCCATGAACATCTGCAGACTTGTTGCATATTTTGACATGGCTGCAGTACCCACGAATCTCGAAACCGTCGCGTACCATGCCAGAGGAGTTACCGCAAGCATTGTTGTGGGTTGCAAGCGGTAATGCTCTTTAGGGAACAGGCGCCTTCGCCGGCGTGGAATACTGCTTCCCAGGACTTTCCAAGTCTCGTCAATGTGTGCGGTGACACCGCGTTTTGAGCAGCGCTGATGTTTCCAGCAGCTTCCAGCGACAGTTGCCACTGCTGAACATCAAAATGCCCACAGCTAGCATCCGTCAGTTCTCGGCTCCACCTACCAGGCCCCTGAAGGAACAATTCCATGTTGTTTGATCTGTCCGTTGCTGGAAGATTGTATCAACTCCATCAATGGAACTTCCGAAATTATTTTGATTAATGGAATCATGGAGCATTCCAATATTCGCAGGTTCTTGCACCATGTCTTGCATCAGATTTACACACCGAATTTTTGCGATAAACAATCTCAAAACCGTTGTGCGCGGGGGCAGGTGATATGTCCACATCCTGGCATTTACGGCTCAGACATTTTGCTCACTCTCAATCAGGAACCATGCCGCCCTGTGAAGGCGCTGAGCAGTGTTCTGCCTTATCGCAGTCGGAGGACTTGAAGAGGACGAATCTGGATGGAAGGACATCCATGGCGATGTGTTCCGTTTCCCTCCCCTGGAGATCCTGTTCTGTGCCTTTGTAGGCACCGGGACGCAGGTGACATGGAGCCATAAGCGCTATTGAACACAACGATTGCATCTGACTTTGGATTTTCGTCACAAGTCAGGCCCCATGTCTCTCGACCTGTGCGCCCACCCTAGCAGCACCTGGACCCCCTGCTGTTTGCCTCAGGCAGCTTCGGCATCATGGGCAATAATATGCTGGGAAGTGCGGTTGCATCGCCGGCAACCAAGCTCCGCGTGCATGTTGAGCAGATGAACCGTTTAACTGCTGCCAAATCACAGGAGCCTACGCCCATGGCAGTTTATCGAAGCATGCGTGTGCAGTCCACTCTTAGAGGGAACTGAGGACAGGAATTGATATACTGAACGTCTGCATTGCCAGGTCCACAATGTTTACTGTGCTGTAAACACACGAGTGGGGCGCAAGTCCCAGTTGCGTTAGATAGGCTCTTAGCAGGTTTACAAGGATGCTCATAAGGACGTCCTTTTCTCCAGAGCGACAACTCACCAAAGCAATCAAAAGCAACTTGACATTGCGGAAATTACTCCACTGCGGGCTAGCGCCCGTCGCCACTTGAAATTGCCTGGACTTGCTGTGGCAGATCCCTGAATTGCGCTCGCTCCTTTTCGTTGCACCTTCTGAGAATGGCGGATTATTTCCCTTGCAGCTTGATGGCGATGATGGCCTTGGCACCTGCAGAAAATGAATTATCAGCAATTTTGCACGTAGCTTCTTATGAGCACATGTGCCTGCAACTCGCGTCTTTGATACCCGACTCACGCAATTCATGGCAATCTGGAAACCATAGCAAACTACATAAATCGCCTTCCAGAAGCACGTAGCTTGTGCAGATGTGACTGAATCGTTCACTGTTAGACGCTCATGTTGCGCTCTTTGCTGCTGCGCAACCTGATATCATGTGTTTTGACTGTGCCTCTGCCGCAGCTTTTCTTCCTGTCGGGGTCTATCTTTGTGCTGGCTGCCGTGGGCGTCTTCTATCCCTACAACAGGGGTGCCCTGTTCACGGCCCTGGTCGTGCTGTACGCGCTGACTGCGGGAATATCCGGATATGTGGGATGTTCCTACTACAGGTGTCGTTGGTACCCAGTGTGCCCACTCAACTTTGGTTCACCCTGACTGTGCATCCCAGTCTGGGGTGCACGTGTTTGGACAGCTCGCTTCCATCCCACTGATTCTCCTCTCCGTGAAGGAAAGGAAAGCAAGGAACCTTTGCCTGCATCCCAGCATCAGTCAGGCACTTGAGACTTGTTGTTCCCACGGCCATCCAGAAAATGCTTCCTTTGTCCCAAAATAAATGAATTGATTCGTTAGAGGCTGTATTTGTATCAAGCGCAGAGGAAAGGCTCTAAACAGATGTTCCCGAAAACGTTCTGTGGAAAATTTGGCATCGCATTGCGCAGCACAGAACAATTTGTGTATCGTGCGTTATTCCTGCAAACGGGTCATGGCATGAGCCTTATAATTTATTGACAGCATTTTTACTTTAGATTTGTATGTTCATGCGTCATGAATCAGGCAAATGGGAGGCCGACATTGGGTGCCGTGCATCTTTCTGATGTGCTTCGTCTTCTGTGGACCACTTTTTATGGTTTTCTGCTTCCTCAACACTGTGGCTATTGCATACAGGGTGAGCGGGTGATGCGACCAATGGTGTCCAAGTGCTATGTCAACACAATTTCGTTCAGTCAAGGAATCGATACATACTCGTTTAAGCACTGATGCACATAAGAAATGAGCTGAGCACTATGAATCCAATGAAATCCAACGGAATTTTCACTGTTCGATACGACGTGGAAGAAATATCGCGATGCAGAAATTAGGAAAATTGACGAAAAATGGTCTTTTTCAAGATATTGTGACAAAAGGAAGTCCTCTGAGTGCCCCCGTACATTGGAAGCACTGCCGGTACGGCGCCGGACCACACTGCGGTCCTAATAGGGGCGACTCCACAGAGGACCCCCTTTTGTTATTTGAACCCCCCGTACGGGACCCCCTTTTGTCATTTTACCTGCTGGGCTTTTGCGGGGTGTTCATGACTACCTCTCCGCCTGCTACACCATTTGAAGATTACAGCTCGAATCTAGTGAAAGCGAAGTGCTCACACACCGAGCGTTCCCCTTAAATAACATTGACAAAAGCTTCACCAGAAATGCACGCAGGTTGCGGAGAAAACACCGTTCGAAAATGGCAGCCTGCCACGGCCGACCTAGCCAAAAACGTAGGCTGCATGTACCCAACTCACCACAACAATCACCGACCTTGTCCATCGAACGCAGCCCATCAATCGCAAACCGCGATCTCCCTCACGCTATTCTGCAGCTTTCTGATCCAGTTGCAAAGCAATCATCGCGTCTCAATTGTCAAACATGGCAGGTAAGCTCATCAGAAAACACGAAATACTGTCTTGCGATCTCATAATTATATGCATCCAGGGTGCTCCAGTGTCAGTGCAAAAGTCTCCATAGAAATGCAAGAATGGCAGTGAAAGTAAGCATGCATACTGTAAGCACGTGCGCACATTTAATGCAGGTCAACTTGGTTTCTTGAGCACGTGCTCAGATACTCAGGCAACAATCAACCGTTTATCTTATGCAGGTGAGCATGCACCCCATTTTTGGAATGTCCAGAAATACCCAAATGTCAAGAGAGGCCAAAGATTTCGAGAAATGAAACCGGGATCAAAGGCCATCTCTTGACATTTTTCAGCAGTAATTCTTTAATGACTTTTGTAGTGGCAACATAGTGAGGTCATTTATCATAGCGATTTCATGTGTTTTTATGGAGACCATTCACACGCTCTTATTTAATACACCAAACGCGGAGTTGTCTATTCAAATGGCATCGCGAACACGCTACCAAGCTCCCAACACCCCAAACAAGGAGATGGCGAACGGGGGTCCAGTACGGGGGGTGCAAATGATATTTCTCATTTGTCGCATCGATTTTTGCAAAATGGGCACAAATTCAAGCAACAGGGGAACCGAGTGAGATCCATGATCGCGTGTCTGACATTCGTATCTCGATAGAATTTGATAATTTTCTGCTACCCTGTATCCACTACAGGTCCAGCCACTTTCTCAGCATGGAGTCACATGCGCCATGACATTTAGTAGATTTGGTGCAACTTCAACATATCCAGCAATGTGTATAACAAAACTTGAGGAAGCTAAATTCGTTTTCAATCCGAGCCGCAAACTATGCGAAATGGACAATCTTTGTCGGAGAATTGCGACCGCATTTCGCACTGCGACTGCGGCCAAAACGGATGAATCCGCCAAGGACGGACGTTCGATTCTTTGGAGGTCACTGTCGAAGACAGCGAGCGCACCTCTTTCTGGTTTGCACGCAGTCCACCGCCGCTCTCCCGTTTGGAACCATCGTTGTCATCCTTGTAATATGGGCTCTGATAACAATCCCGCTCACCGTGCTCGGAGGAGTTGTGGGGAAAAACAGCAGGTGGGTTCTATCTGGTGCGTGAAATATCTTGTATCGTTGTAGCACACGCAGAACATATGGAAAGGATATAGTAGGGCGTAGGATTGTTGTCACGATACTCAACCAGTAGTTCTATCCGTGTTGCTTCGGAAGCACTTCGAAGCAATTACGCGAAGTAAAACAGCATAAAATTGCGCAGTTGTAGATCCAGTCATCCTTTAAAGCTGCGCCTCATGTAGTGTTGTACTGTGCCCATCGTGCGCTGCCTTCTGTACTGTTACAAAATGGCGCAAATGTGACTTATTGGCCAAGCTTCTTACGCCATTTGCAAAAACCCTCCCTTTCCTGTGACATTTTTCAATGACTTGACAGAATGGATAGGGTCGGTTGCAATTCGAGTGCCTGATGCCCGAGCTGGACTGCCCTTTTGTGCGCCCTCTGCAGATCTGAGTTTTACGCCCCCGTGCGGACGAACAAGCACCCCAGGGAGATCCCCGTGCTGCCATGGTTCCAGTCTGCGCCGGCGCAAATGGTGATGGCCGGCTTCCTGCCCTTCTCGGCCATCTACGTGGAGCTGTACTACGTCTTCACAAGCATCTGGGGTCACAGGGTAAGACATTCGACGGAATTTCTGCGACTTTGTGGCGACCTCAGAATTGTGTCAATCCAGGTGACATGACGAATTCTTTCCGACCTTTGTTCCACCAGTTTCTTTCGATTGGTGTACCAAAAAGTGTTGAATGCCCTCCCTCGCGGTGTGCAATAGTTTCCCTCAGCGTGAGTACGGCTGCCGGCGATGTGGGCTGCAAGCTGGACGCCTGCTCCTTCAACCGTTGTTATCATTGCACACCGTTATTTGCTTTTGCTTGAGTTTTCAAAGCATCAGATATGAAAATTCATATTGAATGAGCTCATTACCAGCAGTTTCCCAATTATGCAAAGGGTGATGAGACGGGTGGAATCTTCCGTTGCAAATGGCGCCATGCAGCCTGAGGCGACAACATCCTATGACAACCGCCATCTCTATTTCTCCCAATATATTCAGGCGCACTGATTGATATCAGCATTTCGATGAGCACATGTACGTGCATTCATGCAAACGCATACTCGCGTTGCCTTCGCATCACATTCAATGTTGATCAGGCACGACTGATTCAATGTTTCACAAAAATACCGGTACGCGCTGAGACTGTAAATCGGACACCCCTCCCGTAACAGAACATCCAGATCTTCTACTTCAACCATTGAATTCCAGCCGCAGACACGAAAATATCAAAATTTCCAAGAATGCGAAAAACAAAGGTCCCAAAGTTCAGCATTCGAAAAATGCAAGTTCCAGAAAATAAAAATTACGAATTTGCGGTCCGTTCCCCCCAGCTGTACATCATATGGAGCATCCTGTCCATCGTCTTCGTCATCCTCATCATCGTGACGGCCTTCGTCACCATGGCCCTCACTTACTTCCAGCTGGCGGCCGAGGACCACCGCTGGTGGTGGCGCTCCTTCCTGCGCGGCGGCTCCACGGGCGCCTTCATCTACGCCTACTGCTTCTACTACTACGTCTGGCAGTCCCAGATGTACGGCTTCATGCAGGCCTCTTTCTTCTTCTGCTACATGGCCATCGTGGCCTACGGCTTCTTCCTCATGTTGGGCGCAGTGGGCTGGCGAGCGTCCCTCATGTTCGTTCGGCACATATACAAATCCATCAAGATAGAGTGATGGCGCCTGTAATGAACTTCAGCAAGCATGGCGCGAGCTGTTGCGCGCTTGGGAGGCACTCGTTCTGGGGGTGTCCCGGGGGGTACGTGTGTGGGCGAGGTGGCAAATGCGACGCTGTGCAGAATGGCAGCTGGAGCAAAGGTGTTGCAGCAGCCCATCCCTGCGCCATGAGGCAGACACGGAGATGTATTTTCTGGCGCCTTTGTGCGAGGGGGCATCGCTGTGACGGCTTTGCACAGGGATTGGTCAGTTTCTGTGGTTTCTGGGTCGAAGGTCTTGGCCAAAAGAGCATTCTTGTTTTGTTTTTGCCATTTTCTGGGGGCTGTTATCATTAGGGATCGCTGGGGCTGCGACGGCACCTATGGTTGCTGCCTGTGGACATTGGGATGTGAGCGCCTTTCTTTGTGCAAACGTGCTTTGCGACATTCATTGACACCCCCTAGTGGCTGTCCGTTGAGATGTTTTGCCTGGGATTTCTTGAACACTGAGCGCCTGATAAAGGTTGTCCAGCAAGCCGTGACGTGTTTCCGCTAATCAACGGCTGTAAAGAGGCCTCTTCTTTGTACATGTCGTTTTCGTGGCAATTCCGTAATTTCTCAGCGTCACAGGTCTGGAACGTTCCAGATTAACCCTCCCCTCTCACCATCAATTTGGCTGCAAGCATACTACAATCGACATAGGGTGGTGCTCCCAGCCATACACTCCAAACAACAATGCACGCGGTGCCCGATGCAGAACACCCATACGGAGGCGGAGACGGGTTATTAGGATTGAGCGTCTAGGTGCTACTTTTAGGGTGCACATGTTCAGGGTCTCGGCATGCGCGGTCTGCATCAGGCACAGCCTCAACGAGTTTCTGACCTTTTAATGTGTGGGCGCCATTGTCCCGGTGGTGCTATTCGATCATCAGGGCAGCACTGCAGGATAAAATTGTCATGACTCCGACCCAGTTTTTTCTGCCTCAATGCAGCAACGCTTTATTTTTCTGCCACATTTTTCTCCCCATGCACATTGTAATGGGCACGTTGCGCTACTGATTTGGAGCCATCCGGACTGGTGACACGCATGGCAAGTCCGTCAAAACCCACCCCAAGCAACACGCTCGGAGCACCGCCGTTCACACGGCCAGCCGTTCAAATACAAGATCTGTTCGCCTTTTTGGTGCCCTCAAGGTCTACGGATGCTGTCACGCGCTAAAAGACGAGATTCCAGCCACGTCAAACATGAAGGCCAACGTACAAATCTCATTAAATTCAATCACATCAACGTCACCAGCCCGAGACAAAAATAGTGTCTGGACTGCATCAAATTAAATACGCACCCAACACACATGTGGAGGGTCGCTGTACAACCAGGTGCAGCCCCACTTTCAAGCCCAGCAGCCAACCGACCCCCAGACTTTCACCCGGAAACTGGTTTCCGGGCACCGGCGCGTCCTTCGGCCGACCCTCCCCCCCTCCCCTGCGCCGCCCGCACGCTCCGCCGTCGGGGCGTCATCGACGGCGATGGAGGGCGACCTGTCCCCCCTGCCCGCCGACCGCGAGCACTACACCCGCATCCTGTTCCTGCCGCCCGCGCTCACGAACCGCCACGACGACCCGGCGGCCAGCAGCCCGAGGCGGAGCGCCTCCGGGCGCAGCCAGACGCCCGGGAGGACGCCCGCCAGGATGCCGCCGCCGCCGCCCAGGAACAGCATCTTCGATGAGCCGGGCACGTCCGCGGGTGGGGCTGCTGGGGACCGCGCTGAGGGGCTGGGAAAGGGACTGTCGGGCGCGAAAAGCGCAAGAACTCGAAATCAGGGTAGTTTAGCACTCCGGGGAGGGTGGGGGTGGGCGTGGGGGGGCGCGAATCGATACTGTGTTTTGCTGAAGAACGGCACAGAACTCAAATTCAGAGTGGTTGGACACACCGGGGAGGGGAAGTTGGCTAATCGGGTTGGAAAGGGAAGGTTGGCTAATCGGATTCTGCTGGGAAATGCGCTTTTGCTGAACAGCGCCGTCGAGTGTTCTGGTGGTGGTGGTGGTGTGGTATTCGTTATGCCCGAATGCGGACGATCGATGGACTTATGCCAATCCTTGGTCGCGTTCTTTGGCGTCGGCAAGTCTTGACCAGGCACAGTTTGGGCGAGCAGGGCAGTGCGTGAGCATGCGATGTCCCTAAAGGTGTGTGGCGTTGTCCCAAACTGTTGTTCAGAGCGGCTAGCTTTCAGGTGGGGCGGGGTGTAGCTTGCCTGTGGGGTAGTACATCTCGGCCGATCAGCTGATTCAAAATCCCCTAATTTTGTTGCGCAGCAGGACAGGACTTTGGATTTGGTACACTGTGGAAGCAGACACATGTGACTGTAAGCATTGACCCAATAGGCTACATTTTCGAAGTGTTGTTGTTCCATTTCCCACAATACAGTACTGATGGATGCTGGTGTATGCCAGGGGAGTGGTTAAATTCTCGCCCCGACAGCCCCACAAAGACCGCTGCCTTCCCATCTCCAAGTCCTTCATGTAAGTATCTGTTGACTGCGCAATTTGAAAATCTGCCAGAATTGGTATGTGCCCATGGCTCCTTGAGCCCTCTGTAGAAAGAACAAGCAAGAACTGTCAAGGACAAAGCACTATCTCTGAGTCTTTGTCATATTGTGCATATTTTGGACACAATGTTGTTATCCTTTCTTTGAGTTCATGGCAGCAGAAAATGTTTTGTCTCCGTCCATTGTTGATTTTGGGAGGTTGTCCACAACCTTGACCCTTGTTCCTGGCAACAGGACCAGTTGACCCCAGATGAGGTGCTTGTGTTGTTATGGCAACAACTCTGATTGCTTTCCCACAGATGCGAATGGGCACCCAAGGACGCCAGGTCTCGTCACTGGAGACACTCATCCAGGAGTGTACAGTAGTCTGCAGATCGAAGATGAGTGGGTCACTGTGTTTGGAATCACGCAGAATGACAGAGACCTCATACTGAAAGAATTCTACAGTTGTGGGGAAATTGAGACGTCAGGAACATTTGGCGGCCCTTCGACGTCGAATTGGGTTAACATCAAATACAAGGTGGGCAGTGCCAAGTTGTTGATGTGCTGCTGTTGTTGTATGTATTGTTGTTGGTACTTTTTGTAGCAGTACCATAGTGCAACATATACGACCCCTTGTAGAGATGATCCTATGCAAGATGGCCCTTTGATTGTGGCTGTGACAAAGCTGTAAAGCAGCAGGCATTGTTGGTGTTCTTTTGGTCTGTGTGCGGCAAAGTAACAGCCTTTGCGGCTGCTGTTCCGCTCCGTGTCAGTCCTTGCCCTTGAAGTGCATTGTGCTTGCTGCTATTGGATTTGCAACATCTCCATACCACACACAACCTCTCCAGGGTGGCCCACCACCCAACTTCAACCACAGGAAGAGGCCCAACTCATTCTTGCTAGGCCAGGGTGCCCCTTTGTATGCTGCGGCTTATTGGCATTTTTGAGAGGTTGTGACACACAAGGACCTGTAATTTGTGCTGAAATGTGTTTTGGCACCTGTGCATCCTCCTGGATACTGCAGCCTTTCCGATCGCAGCATTTTGCTGTCTGTTTTCCACTTCTTTTGGGGCTCAGATCATCTTGAGCTGACTTTCAATGTGGCAAATGCCCCACCCTCTGCTATAGGCTGGAGGCTTGTAGCAAACCCCTCAATCGTGATGCAAAGCTTGGAACACAATAGCAAAGGGATTAAATGGCAGATGACACTTGTGCTGCAGACCAGAGATGGTGCACTGCGGGCGCTGAACCGCCACGGCGACCTCATCGATGGGCGCCTGATCGTTGGCGTCATGCCCCTGTCAGCCAAGGACCGTGCTGTCATTGAACGGGAGCTGAGCTACACTCGGGAACACATGCCCACGCCCTCGGACCTTGGGGATGCGTGGACGCCCCAGGCGGGGGTGGTGACTGGCCCTGCAGGTGGCACCCCCTACCCCTGGCACAGGCCGACCATCCCTGTGGTGTACAGCGAGACGCCAGCCAGGGAGGCACGGGTTGATCGGCCTCCAAGCCCCGTGACGCGCACGCCGCTGCAGCAGACTGAAGGCATGCCCACTCCAGTCAAGGGGTGGCTTTCTCCCTTCAAGGAGTTCATAATGGGGACGTAGGTGCACCTGGGATTGAATTCTTTTGTTCTGAGTCGCCTTCGTGTTGGAGCGTTCCAGGGGAGGTGGGGAGATCGTTTGTATGGGCATCGAGAGGCGAGGCGAGACAATGAGGGGATGCAGGCAATTGGTTGCTGCGTCGATCGCTGGGTCAGCGATTATTTTTTGGTGTTCTGATGTTTTGGTGATTATTTGGGAGTCCCAGCGCAGCAGGGGAAGGGTGGAGTACCAGATAGAGGGATGGTCGGGCAGGGAAGCACTCAAGGCCAGGACATGCAAGCGTACGCCTGCTGACATCTGTGAGGGAGGTTCAGGGACGGGCGAGTGGGGTGGGGTTCGAAACTGACTGTGCGGCTGAGGGTCGGCCCAATCCTTTTAGTTACCATTCCTAAAACGCGGCAAGGCACAGCCCTTGTGCCTACAAGGCGGCAATTGGCAAGTGAACAGGTGATGGCTTGTTCGAAAACCGCCCTCAAGCGCTCCATCTTCATCGAGGTCCCATAATCACTCAATTGACAGGCTCCAGGGCCTGCGCCCATCGTCTGCAATTGCCCAACCATCCCTTTTTCGACTCTAATCTCTGCAACACTGCTGTCTTCCAATTCTTCTCGCCTTTCCAAACGTATGCGGACGCTACCTCCTCTGTTAGAAAATTTTGCTAAGTCTGGCTGCGATTGACCGAAAAATTGATGCCGGGGGGAGCGTTACACACGGAAACAAGGCAGGCCATGAAAGATCGGCCCTTCCCAAGCAAGTGTATCTCCCATACTTTGAAAAGATGATGTAGAGTCTCCCAGTGGAGAAGATGGGCACACAGCATACACAACACGAGAACCAAGAAGGCGTGCACTAAAGGGGGCAAGGGCGCCGCTGGGTCCAGCATCAATTTGATGTGGAGGATACCAGAATCGACATAGCGTAGTCCATTATCAAGGAGCTGCTACACTGCCAGTGCTTGCATCTCGTGCAGTGTTGGTGCGCATTATTGCTCCCAGGCAGCCCACATGCATGGTCTGATGGCTGCCCACTGCGCAGTAGTACATTGGTGTGAAGCATGTGGCGATAGCCATCAGACACACACCGACGGCAGGGCGCACCAGCATTGCGAATACCCACAGGAAAGGGTGCACAATAATCGGGATGGGGCTTCAGGCCCGGAAGACGCTGTCGAAAGTTCCGGCGATGAAACAAAAGCAATTCAACAACTCTCGATTATTTTCAACGAGAACACGTGATGAACAATCGCCTCACAAGGTATCCTGTACAGAGATGATAATTTCCTTTCCGCTACGGTTCAGCAGGTAGAGACCAGTTTCGAGGTAAAAATTTGAGCCCTGGTGAACTAAACATGCGTGACGCAGCAAAGGCAGTATCCCAATTGACTTCACGTCTTCGAATGCATACTGCGCCCTACCGAATCCATGCTTCCATGCTCCATATAGTTGCATTCAATTACATAGAGAAATTTACAGCGACGAAACTGCCTTTTCTACAGCCCCCAGAGTGTGCCCCCTGCCGAGCCAGAGAATCGGCCACGTGTTCATCCTGTGATTTCTCCCAGCTTTTCCATCTGCTAATTTCTTCAACCAACCACCCATCCACACACCCTGCCGCCAGCCCCGCCGTTTCCCCTCGCCATCTCTACACCACGCAGCCACCGTTATCTCCAAATTAATATCGAAATAGTACGAGTCAACATGCCTCAGGGACATTTGTCAATCCTAACTCCTGCATCGCCACTCTGCTGCATATGTTCTCTATCGCGGTGCCCCGAGCCTTTAGGAGCCACCGCAACCGCAGATTCCCATTGGGCAAAAATGCGGCGTCCTCTTAAGATTCGATGCATCACAGCGGGTGTATCCAGACGTGCCACAGATCTCCCTGGCCGTCTTCAACGCCAAATGAAAAACACCCATAGAATGGAGTGAAGAACAATAAGCCGTTGGGGAACAAATGCACACTGTGGAAGTGCATATGTCCTACATTGGCTGAACAGTGCAGGGGCTCTGTTTCAATCTTGTGAGCCATGCAAAATCAAAGGCGATGTCCACCCGCCATCAAACAATGTCCATCAGTCCAATAGTGTTTCTGGTGCAGAGCCAAGGGAGACATGGGAGCCATTTTGTTAGGCCGTGTTGCTGTGTGCCCTTTCTCCCATCTGGATACCATTTGCACAACATCCAATTCTCCCTCCGTGTTATCGCTCTGCACCAAAAATCAATTCGCCATCGCCAATTCCGCAGTCATCATTGTGTTCCACAGCCACTGCTATACCTGACCACATAACATACCCACCCACTGTGTGTCCAGTTCCCATCCCTGTAAAGATCTGTTACTCATTGATTTGATGCCTGGCAACCGCCTTCAACCAACCAATTCAGTCCCACCCCAGCATTAGTTGCTGCCAATATTATTCCTTGCTGCTTCTACGCGTGTGCTGCCAATCAACCTTTTTTCAACTGGGCCACTCTTATGGAATACAGTGAAACAAACAACTCAGCATTGCCCTGCGGTGTGCACCCCAAACAAGCGCTGAATCCCTGGATTCTGCTCACGTACATAGACACCATCCCACTCCTATTATGAATACCCAACCCCACACTCGCCATAGCTGCACACAAGGTGTAAGGGGACTGCGCATGGCCTGAGCAGGCAAACCCCGTCCACGACTTTGAACATCACCAAATCCTTGCTTTGCCCGGCAAAGCCGCCTCCAGCGTGCTCATATGGGACATCCTGCTTGGCCGCCTACTCCCCTTGCACAGCTGCCGCTCCAAACGGTGAGGACACTGGTGCACCATTTCCCGCAGGGCCCCAGCCGCCCATGCCCCCCCCACCCTCGCTGGCAGCAGCCCCTTCCATCGGCCCCTCCAGCTCAGGCATAAGCGTCGTCGGCAGGGATCCGTAGATCTCGCTGGGAGTCCGAGCATGGCCCTTCCTCTGGGCTGGAACAAGGCCCCTGGGCTGCGATCCTAGCCCATTCTCACCCCCTGTGTAGTAGCCTTGGGGTTGCAAGGTTCGATCAGAAGCAGCTGAGAAGGGGGCGCCACTCGTGGCTCTTGGAGCAAAGCTGGGATTGGGGGTATCAAATCCCGGCATCGCCATACCATATTGTGCAACGCTGGCGTTGCCTCCTGAATGGGTTCTGTTGGCCTGGTGGTGTAGTCCGGCACCTTGCGGCATGTGTCTATACTGGGCACCATTTGGGGCAAACTGGCGGGCTTGCAGGTCCATGGGGAAGGAGTATTGGCCATAGTCCTCGCCGTACATCCCCGGTCCTCCTCCATACATCCCGGGGCGGCGAGAGCCCTGCTCCCAAACATGCACAACCACATGGTGACGCACAAAAGCAGAGCATTAAACAACGTTGAGTTTAACAGTAATGCATATGGTTAACAAATGGATGCAAGACATGGGTCAACAGAAGAAGATAATTAGTCGACAGCAAATAGCAGCGGCTGTCAATACATTGTCAACCGGCCTGGAGATGCACAAATTCAATACATTATGAATGGCAACCATTATCGCGCTACTTTTCATGCACTACATCTCATTCGACGATCCTTTTCATTCGCACAGTTGGCAGGAATAACTACCACGACCCTCGATGAGCAACCCAACAGTATTGAAATAGACTGGCACAAGTTGTCCAGTGTCACATTGCGCTCAAGCAGGCAATGTGCTGCATTTCTGGTCCATGCAGTGGAAGGGATTACGATATTGAATCCAGTAGTGAAGGCTGCGCAGGGTAGGATGGGGTTAAAACATCCTGGGTGTGGGACTGGCTACACATACTCTTTCATTCTAGTTGCTAGCATCGGCAAAACATGGATTAGCGCACACAGGGTCACGATGTCCAATTCTGTCGTTCTCAATGTGGAGACCCAAAACCACCCAACGAAACTTACAGCCAAAAAACTCGGCAGTGCACCACAACGGTATGGTCTGAAGTAGGTCACTAGAGATTGGCACAACTGGAAGGCCAGAGCCAGTCCATAATCTTACATTCAACACAATTTAGAATGCAGCCACACTCCATTCAACATGGAACACAAGATTTCATTCATGCGATCATCACCCCACAGCACCAGCATAGGCACAATGGCAGCGATGAGCTGTGTATGCTGGGAGTTAATGATGAACTCACCCTGTAGTGGCTGGCCATCATATTATCCCCCCAACTTGTGGCTCGATCCATGCCTGGCTCCACACGGCTGTTGCCCAGGGCTGCGGCAGAGAGTGTCCTTGTGAGGTCGCCGATGGAGGATGCTTCCAATGCGCTGCTCCTGCTGCTGCCATCCTGTTGGCCGCCCATGTACCTGCGACTCCCATTAACCAATGTCTCGCTTAACCGGTGCTGGGCGCGATCCTCAGCCCACAATGCCTCTTTCTCGTGTTTGCTCATCCGGTTGTATCTACAACAGTCCACAGTACAGCACTTGATAGTTCCCTGTGCAAATAGTCTACTGCGACAAGCTTGTCTGTGTCTGTGGCATTCTGCTGAAATCTGCAAACACAATGGAAATCTGCAGACACTGTGGATCAGGGTTTGCTGCAAGCTTTCAGCAGTGTACAGCAGGCTGCGCTCAGATACCATCTGCCACAGAGGCATTCGTATCAACCTCTGTGTGTGGCAATGGATGTGGAAATGCACCAAGCATTGCACCAAATTGATAAAATGTCCACCCAAAATCTTACAACCTTTGGCCCTAGCTGTTGTGTTGATGGGCATGGAGCAAGCACTCTGCAACTTGATCCAGAGGTACTGCTGAATGCCGCAAATGCCCTTTAATCTTGCACATTGTTCACAAGAAGTCATCCTATTACCAACCCTACCAGTTGGGGGGATGAATGGCAGACTATTACATGTCCATTCCCCTGCATAATCTTCCAAGCTATGGACAGATGTGGCATAAAGTCTTGCCCAGGAGGGAGCTTTCTATGTGACAATGTTCTCATCCTTGTTGAAAGATAACCTTTCAAAAGCAAGGACCCTGCCCAGGCCGCCAATCACAAATGGATGCAATGAGCAAACTGTGCCAGCAATTGGGAAGATCATCGTTCAGACCTGGACGCTCAACTTCCGCCCATGTGAAGGCAAGAACAAGAAGGCACACGTCAACAGGGAATGCAATGTCATACCTGTTGGCAAGGTTGCTGTCAAAGTGGATGTTGTTGGGGTTCAGCCTATTGGAGAGGTTTAACTGTGGCATCTCGTCCACAGCTTGGGGAACACCCTCTTCACAGCCATTCTCTCCTGCATACTGCTCCATCTGCCAGCTCTTCGCCGCATTTGGGCTCGGCGATGGCATATCTGATGGCGCACCTTCCGGGCCTACCATCACCAATCATTCAGCTTGCCCAAAGAAAAGAGCGTGAATAAGCTTGAAAGCACTGGCGCTGCCCTTCGCTGTGCTACCCCAGGTTGGGGTCATAGACAACACAAAAGATCATTGTCTTGGACAGCGTGTTCCAAACGCTAGCTGTGACTATTGCCAAAAGATGACAAAAGCCAGTTGAGCCCCAGAGATCGGGGTGCAATCCGGCGGACAGGTGACATGCTCCCAAACAACGCCATGCAAAACAAGGAACCGGTCACTGTTCATCTGCAAGGCGAAGTTGCTGCAGTGCAGATAAATGCAGAAACCAACCACCGTCAAGCCCCAGTTGTGTGGTTGATGGCAGAGTGAGATTGAAGCCAACACTAACAAGCTGACATGCATGCGTGTGTGCACGCATGCACACATGGCTGGAAGATTCTTCACCTTGCACAGCTTATGGGTCAAGGGGGGCCCACCTGGGGATGGTTCCAGTCGATATCCCCTCCTTGTACCAAGCCGCCCGTCAACCTTGAACCACATTGGAGGCCCTGACCCCTCCTTTTGAAACCGGACAACAAGAGGTTTCGACCCAGATATGGCTGTGACCACCTCCCCATCAAGTGCCTCCTTTGCCCTAGCTGCATGCTGCGTCTGCTGAAAGTTGACAAAGGCAAAAGTCTTGCCAGGGAACGTTCGAACGCTCTCCACTGGGCCATAGCGGCTGTACAGGCTGAAGAGCACTGTCTTGCTCGGCCTGAGGCAGACATTGCCAAGCCACAGGTGCCTGCGCACTTAAAATCAGTGTCAGAAAAGCTGTCCATCCATCCTTCTTGTCTTTGCATCAGCAGATTTTGGCAGGGCAAATGGAAACAAGCTCAAGGACTATAGCAAATGCCGGGAATAGGGCCAGCCAGCAAATGTTCTGCCAAGCAACACCATCCTCTTCATTCTGCCATAAACGCAGTGTCATTAACATCCATACCATTGACTCTGCTATTCAGATCATGGGAGAACTGCCACTGGTGCTGATATCTGATGTGTCAGGACATCTAAAATGCACATCATTGCCTTCAGCATTCATGTATTCAGCATCTTGAGTTCAATCATATCAGGCACAAGGCTGCCTCTATAATGAACTCAAATTTCAAAGCGCCGCAAGCCCCAATTTCTTATCATAAGGATGAGGGCAGCAACTTTACACTTGTCATCAAATGAGCAGCGCTGACACAGGAACACGCCCAGCATCTCCATTCATGCAACCTGCCAGAATCCCACCCACCTGGAAGGCCTCCCTTCAGGAATGTTGCCTTCTTCATCTTCTGGGTAGAATGGCTCTTCCCCATCAAAATCGAACTCCTCTAGATCATCAGGGGTCCCGCCATTTTGTTGCCAGTGGCCACTGGCCTCCCTGGCAGGTTTAAAGCGCATCTTCAACTGCTTTGTTGCTGTCAATGTTGGGACGATGACATTGTTCAGATTCTTGTATGACTCCAATGCGTCGGCTACCCTCTCAAAAGTTACAAAGGCAAACCTCAGCGGCCCTGTACGTGCTGGGAAGGTTGCCACATCTGTGATGGACCCAAATTTTGCGAGCACTGAGCGAATGGTGGCAGCATTGGCTGTGGAGCTGATGTTGCCAAGCCACACTCTGCTGCTGGGCATGAAGCCCCCCCATTCGGCGCTGCCTCCCTTGTGATGTGGTGGACTGGCATTCTCCCCTGTGTCATCCCAGGAGTGGAAGGATGGAGCACAGTGGGAGCTGCTGGGATCTGAACCAAGGAGCCACACAGCACTAACTTGGGTGCAGCACAGAGATGCCTGGGCAATGTTATGCGTGTCTCAGTGCGAAGTATGCGGGTCAGTAAATGCAGACACAGCACAGCTGCACAGTGCAGAGGTAGTAACAAGACATTTGCAGCAGTCAATGACATATGGCAAAATTAGGTGCACGGTGAAAAAAGCTTAGTCTTGGGGCTGCAATGCCTGTGGGACTTGTTGCAGCCCCTGAGCCAAGTATTGCAAACACTATAGAATGCCTGTGGCAGAGAGTGACAGAACAACAAGCTGTCCACCTGTGCATGGTTGCAGCACATCTGACTGAATTCAGTCTCAAACACCATTGCTGCAGCTGATCCTCAACTGCAGCACAATTGGTGACTTGACCGCACAATGCAGGCCAATGTCTCTGGTAGGCCCACAGTGTCTGCAACAATCTGATATGTAGATGGCTAAATACCCCAAAACGAGTCGATACTGGTGCCCCAAGTGACTGCACGTTATCCACCACAGTGCTCGCCGTTGCAAATTCATGCTCTTGATGTTCTTCACTTTTTTCACTGGACATTGGCAGCCTCTGCCACCTGCAAGTGAAGGTTACCTGGAAGGGCTCCCGCAGACCCTTGGTGTTGCATGGCCGCTCCGTATGGTGGCACAAATGCTGCCTCGCCTCCCGCACCCTCCTCGCCAACAGGCCTGCCATCTTCGGCTGCCATGCCCAACAGCATGTCCCCCACCCTGCCCAGGGCCTTCCTGTTTGGCCGAAACTTGATCACCAGCTTCTTGTTGCCAGTCAGGGAGGGCACCTCCTTCTGATCCAGAACTTCTGCAGCCCTTGCCGCATCCTCAGGCAGGTGGAAATTGACAAAGGCATACATGCGGCCAGGGAAGGTCACCACGTCCTCAACAGGACCAAACTCTTCGAACACCGACTTGAGGATGGACCGCGGCAGCCGAGTGTTCAAGTTTCCAAGCCAGAGGTGTTTGCTGAGCACCTTCAGCTCTCCCCGCTCAAGCAGAGGCTCTGGGACTTCGCCTTGGGGCGCCCACATGCTACTGTATGGAGCTGGGGGGTACACCAGCGGCGGACCTGGTGCTCCCAGAGAAGGGCTTCTGTGCCAAGCCTGGTTGACAAAGGGGCGCAGCGTAAGATCAAGGTATAGTCCTAGCATCCAAACCAAGTATGGGCCACATGTAGTATGGTGTGCAGTCCGCATTTTCTGGTTAGCAAGAACTGACTGCACAGTGCACATAAACAGGTACACACAACACGTGACAGCCCAAACTGTGTGCATGACATATGCGATTCGCCCCAGGTTCTGTTAACAAAAGATTTTCTGACTGAAGCCAATGATGAATGCATGACTTGACTCTACGATTCTCCATGCTCCGTGTCGCAACATCAGTGCATAGGAAGGCTGTTCAGACACGATTATTCCCTGTCAGATGGTATCACGAACGCTGACACATCAATTAACAAGAAGCAATTGAGCCCAAATCCATCTCTACCTCTGGATTATCATCTACAATGCCTATCTGCCGATGGCCATGTCCATGAATCCCAGCATTGCCGTTCACGGATGACTTCATCAAGGGGCTGTTGGAGGCACTGCTGGATATTGTAATAGGCGACGATGGCGGCGGCGGAGCTGTCCACCAGTCCCAAGGGCACCCGAACTGGTGGTGATCAGGCTGTCCATACTCCCTGTCTGTGTGCCCATTTGGATCCACCCCAGGCCCAGAGACCACGGCCACATCCTCTGCCTTCTCCGTCCCATTTTCTGTCAGGATGAGCCCTGCAATATCACTGGACAGCCAAGACATGATCTGGCTGTCGTCCACCATGTCCTCTTCCTCCAGTGCAGGTCCCGAAGCAGCGCCCTTTGCCCCAAGCCTTGCCCCGTGAGACGCCCCAGTGCCCTGAGCCCCAGATTCCAAAGGGCGTAGGTGGGTCCACTCTGTGGCTGCACTCTCTCTTGTTGCACCTGGAGTCAAGATTGGGTTGCTCATATGATGCTCAGGGACACACTGAGACTGTTGGGACCTCAGCCATTGTGCGGGCTGTGGAGGGAATGGCTCGCTGATGGATGTACCCTGAGGGTATGCTTCAAGCGCCATGGACATTGGACTCGGCGATGGCCAGTGGTTGCCGAGATCACCCATGCCACCATTTTGAGGGGCACCACAGCTGCCAGCCACTTGATGGTGCTTCCCTAGTTCATTGGCCCCCAAACTTGGTAGTGTGAATGCAAAGCTTGGTGGAGTGATTTCCGAAACACCCTGCCGGTTTCCTCCCAAGGCACCCCAGGGATGTGACTGCTGGTCAGGGGGAAGGCCAGAGGAGGCGCTGGCAGGCATGGTTGGGGTGGTTTCTCCACCCACGAGTGGCTCCCTTGCTTGCCTTGTCCCCAAAGCTGGAGCTCGAGAAGCCTCCATAGCCCCATTGGTACTAACGCTGGTCTGGCTGGCCAGCACATCCAGGCAGCTGCTCTGAGGCGGCTGCGCATTGGAGCAAGTGTGTGCGCCTTGCAAGGCTATCAACGATTGTGTCTGAGAGCCACCTTGAGATGAACTGGGAGTGGCTCCTTGCACAGACTGCCGTGCCTGTTGTTGCTTGGGATCGTGTGGTGTGCAGGTGGGGTGGTTAGCCTGAGCCTCACCTCCCACAATGCTCCTTTGGGGCCCCTTGCTGGGATTTACACCTGGCGGTGAGGATGCAGTGCCTGTTGGGAGAACTTTCGACACCTAGGAACCAAATTGAGTCTGTCAACTCTTGCACCAACCCTGCAAATTCCAGTGTATTTTGCAACTGTGAGACAAGCAGGGACATCGGGACTATGCCATAACTTTAGTCATGGTTTCTGTCTGCATTCTTATCATGGCTTATTGCCCTACTACACAAGCATAGGGTTCCACAAAGTTGACATCCCTTGGAGTTGCATCCAAACAATAAGCCCCCAGACACCTCTTGACACCTGCCAAATATAAATCAAAGACAAGCTGCAAGTCAGTTACGCATGGTGCAATGCCAAGAGTTGGCTGCCCTTGCTGCAAGATTTCAACAAACTTGTTGCAGGTGTTTGCGCATATGATGCGTCAAACCAAGAGCAACCACTCACTTGTTGCGCATGAGCAGTGGCGCTTGTGCTGGACTGTTTATCACCAGTCTCTGTCTTCACGAGTCTGTTCTGTGATGACCTCTTCTGTACCTGTGGAGAAACTGAGGGTGCAGTCTGTCCTCCAAAGTCTCTGGATTTGCCAACGACAGACCCCTCTTGTTTATTCACATCGACTGTAGCCTTTGCAGGCCCATGGACTTTCTTGGTTTCAGGTTCTGATGCCCTGGATAGAAAGGCCCGTTTCTGGGATTTGCTGTCCTGCAGAGGTGTCAGCTTGGGCTCCTTGGCAGATGTACTTCCATTCATGAGAGATTTGCGTCCTTTCTGTGCAGCAGGGGCCTAAAACACAAAATCGTAGAGCTCAGCACATTCAGTGTCTTAAGTGTCAACTTGCACACAAATGAGATTACTAACACTCATCGAATGCAGCACTAACCTGGCAGTAGAACAAGCTTCTGACTATGCCACATGCTACAAAATACCCTCCAAAAGCCTCCTCCTGTGCTGTTGGTTGTCCATCGATTACACTGAACACTGAACACTGAACACCGTTGTGCGGCTGACTCAATCAGGCTCATACATGCAGCTACCACCTCCTTTTACACAACCAAAAAACCAAGCAACAGCTCAGAATTGAACAATTGGGCAGCACTACAAGCTACACAGATATGCAAGAAAGATAGCAAGCAGAAATGAATGCCATGGTAGGCAGTGCAATTTACACAGTTGTGCAGGAATTTGGCATGCAGCATGAACAACTTTTTGCAACATCTAGTCACCCAGAGGATTATGTTAAAAACGACAGAAAACACCTCACCTGCTGCTCTTTCATTGTCTCTTCATTCGTCTCCTGCAGACTTGCTTCCCGGGCCTGCTGGAGCATTTTCTTTTCCTGCTCTTCTAACTGTCGCCTTCGTGCCTCCAGGGCCCTTTCATACTCCTCCTCCTGCCGTCGCCTGCTCTCTGCCTCTTCTTTCCTTGACTGCTCTTCTTTTGCCCTCTTTTCTTCAGCACACTTCTCTTGGGACTGTACAGATATCTTCTGCTTCTTCTCCTCTTTCTTATCCTCCTGCACATCGCCTTGCCCTGCCACAACATTTAGCACACAGTCTGTGACAAAACAAATGTATCATTCTTGCATGGAGGGGGCCACACAGTCACCCCCAGACACAAACTTCTGCTCCTGTAGTTCGCCTCCTTGCTCTCCACAGTGCATTTGCCAAAGCATGCAATGTCCGGTTCACACATGGAGAGCAAAATGGCGGGTGTCAATGTCTGGGCCAGGAGCAAAAAGGGAGAACCGACACCAGCCAAGGTCTTGAAAGAGAATTGACAGCACACGAGTATCTCCATTCATCAGAACAAATATCAGGGCATAGCTGCACCCAAGATCCGCCCAAATCCACTTCCCCAGGTCTCAGTGCTTCGCCTACCAGCAGCGATGGGAAGGCCCTTCTTCTTCCTTGGCTTTTTTACATGGGGCTGATGCTGTAGGTGCTGCTTTTCCTTTTTTCCCCCCTCTCGCTCCAGCTCCCGCAGCAAGGCGTCCTGGGCAGCTTTGGCAGCTGCCTCAGTGGCTTTCTCCAGCACCAAGACACACCCAAGGACCTTGCTGTCCCGGGCGAGCTGCAACGCATTTGCTCCATGCTTTGTGCGCTTCAGGAAGTCCAGCGCGTCGCCAGACTCTCTGATGTACACAGCCAGGCATTCGCTCAAGCCCGCTTCAGCCAGTCTGCATGCAACAAGGAGCAAAATGTGATCAGCATGACGCATGGCTGTGCACAACAGATCATCACACCTTTCTTGACACCTTTCTTAATTTTCCAATGTTCACCAAAGGCAGTTGTGCTCATCAACACTTTGAAGTCACACGAGGCAACGGCTAGGTCTGCCACTGTCTTTGGTCCTCTGACAACCTACAACCCAAAGATTCGCTCTCATAGTTTCACATAGGAGCTTAAAGAACAGCAACAACAGACAGCATCTTGCTGGCCAACAAGCACAGAATTCTCATCCACTCAAGCCTGCATGCCAACATGCACCATTTGGGACAGCAGGTTACAAGCACCATCATTACTCAAGGATGTCTGTGGACCAAGGCTGATGGGTGACAACAGTTCATTTGGCAAGGTTAGTTTCTGTCCAGAGGACTTGTTGGAGGCTCTCAGCGCAGAGCAATTCCAAGCACAAGTTTGCAGCTGCTTGGACCATCACCACCCTATCATAATTGTGACTACAGTGTCCACATCCAACAGTCCACAACTTGGACCCTGAAGAGACTTTGGGGGCGTGAGTTGGGTCTGCACCAATATTCTCTTTGTGAATATGTCTAGGGGTTGTACCAAAAGCTCAGAGTTACAGAATGTGTTGTCTGGGGTGCGGCAGCAGAATGTTCCCCAGCAGTTCGAAACGCAGTTGGACACAACATGGACACTGGCATCGGCACATAAGGAAAATAGTTGTTGTCATATCACCCACTGCAGTAAACAAACAATAACAATCGCTTGGTGATACAAACAAATCAAACAGACAACAAAACATTATGCATAAAATAAGGGTGCTTCGATTGCATATGCTGTTAATCACCACCTTTGCAACAAATGCTGGAAGGAAACAGCAATTCGGAGTCAAACATGCCCATCATTATGTTCTTGGCACAAGGGAACCGCTATTCCCTGAGAAGGGCAAACCCAATCACACCTGTGCAGTATTGTGAACCCATCCTTGTCTGTTGAGTTCAGAGCATCGTCGCCACAATAAAGCAAGCACACAGCAGCGCCTTCCACTGATGCCAGCACATCGCGGCCCTGAACAGAGAAGCGCCTCAACATATTGTCCCTAACGTCAAAGCGACGAGATACAAACATTGGTGCAATCAACTTTGTCGATGGTGCATCTGGCACACATAGCTTTGTAGGTGAATGGTCGATGCAGGGTCACTACTAATACAAGGCAATGACCAAGGGCGTCTGGCGAAGCAAAGAAATTTTGACCAAAGCATATCGCCAGTCATAGTCCAACCACATGCAGGCTTGCCACTTGTCTCAACGCACATCATGAAATGTGAGCTACTTAAGACATGGGACTCAACCCATTCTTGTTCTGATACTTCACAATTGGTATTCGCAATTGCTCCCTGAAATTCTCATCGCATTCTCTATATCTGGAGAGCAAGCTGAGTGGATGCACAGTTGCAATAAAAGTGTTGAAGAATGCTATTCTGATACATATCAGCGAAACAACACGACAGCAGATGGGCAAGTGCAACCCAAACTGACAACCAGTTAACACAGGATCTTCCTCCTAACTTGCACCATACCTTGGTTGGCTCATGAAGGAAACAGCAGTGGCATGCGTATCTGCAGCAGCTGACCTCCACAACAGGGTCATCCTCGGCAAAATCAAAAGAGACGATTTCATTCCCTTCTGCTATGTACCTCACCATCGTGGCGATCGCACCATGGATGTCCTGCGAGTACATGGCCAGTGGAGCTGCAACCTTGGGCTTCAAGGCCTTGCTGTCGCCCTCGTCTGCCAAATCGAGCAGCTTCCCTATCACTGCCAACCCAAATGCCTGCCAGCCAGACAGATATCATGTTGCAATATGCTCGTCGTTCAAAACGATTGCTATGTTTTGACCTGCAAGGTCGAACATGTTGTGCTTCTGGTACTCAGCAGCACACTTTTGTGTGCAGGAACTTTGTATGATACTGCCATGTAGTGGCAGGTTCAGTCTGAGGGGTGGATGCGCAGCACAGCACAACTCAGGGAGGGCAACTAGTGCAGGGGATAGCTGCTAGTTCTGAACGGCCTCTAGATGTGTGCTGCTGCTCCAACATTGTTAGGGAGACAAGCAGTGCCAGCTGATGGGCACAGTGCAAGGATGTTACGTCATCCAGCCCAAGTCTGCACACAGCAGACAATTGGGAAATGCTTCTGCTGCATTCTGGCAGCGGAATTACGACTTCCAAGGATGCCATAACATGCAGCTACGTGGCGACAGAGTGGAACATCCCCACCAACTGTATTGCTACAATAATTGCAACTACAAAACAATAATGCATTTGTTGAGCAATACTTTGAAGTAGAAAGCACACCTGTGTGCACAGCACATCCTTGGTTGTGGGGTCTCTCAACTTGCGGGAGCCGCGCATGGCCTTGAAGATGCACTCTGCGGCGTCCCAAAAGTCCATGTCCACAGCCAGGCACTGAGGGTTGCTGAGCAACGCATAAAGTGTCCGCAGTGCAACAGCCTTGTACAAAAAGAGCAAACAACATAGGATCAACACCACACTGAACACACAGTTCCAAGAATTGCTACATAACTATTTGGGATAAAGACAGCAAGAGAAAAACCACACTTGAAATCATCGTTTGGCCTTTTGCAAATAAACTATCATGGTGAACCACTATCACCTGCGCTCTCAGACAATCACATCAGCAACAAATTTCACAATGCACTCCAGAACAGCAAGACCAAGTGACTGAGTGTGCCACTTCCTCTTATTTTCTGCTTTTCTTCAAATTTGGATGTGGCGCGCTTTGCATGTGCTTGATGGAGGAGATGCATATGGGGATATGTGGAAAGATATGGCAGCAACAATGCAGGATCGCCCAGATCTTCCCAACCAGCAGTCCAAACAGAACTGCCCTGGACAATGCCTACACATGATATTGGGAAATTATATGCAGCTGTAATTTGAACGGCTTCAAAAAAAGCACCGAATCAGCAACAGCCAACCTTACCAGAGACAGCTAACATATAGTGGTGGGGTGGCAGCTGCTGCCTTTCTCACCTGCATTCTGGTGTCTTGAGCTGCAATAAACACCTGGTATACTGTCAGCGCGGCTACAGAAAGTGCTGACACGCCGTCAAGGTTGGGTCCAGCACCCCTGAGGCCACCGTCGTCACCCCCAACAACAGCAATGAAGTCCAAACAGTGTTTTACAAGCGGATCATCCTGGGGAGCAATACAGGAGCAGCATGTCACAGAGACAACCAACACGCCGTGTGGCAAACTGCAAAGTGAAGCAGCTTGTGCTCACAAGTCCGCACATCAAATGACAAACAGGATACGCGGTGTCAATGGCCTTGTGTGGAGATAGCATTGTGCTACACAGCGCAGCACACAAAACATCGGCCCCACAGCTACACAAAGCACGTGTGCAAGGTCTTGTCAACCTCGTACAGAGCAACTATGCAAGATGCAACATTGCCAATGCGTGTTGGTGCAAACTGCATCAGACAGTAATCTGGATATCTCGCAAGAAACATGTACTAACAAGTGCAAGCGGCTGTCCATCAAGCTTCCAACAGTGCCACTGTGGCACTGTGACATGTGCGTGGCACAGCCACGCACATGTCACTGGCGTTTGTACTTACAAAGCGAAGGACATTGCATGAGGTATTGCTAACCAACAGATCGACTGAGCAGAGATGACTATGCTCAGTCGAAGCCAAAGTAGCGATGCAGACAGACAACCAATCCTTGGATTACCAAAGAAACTGTGTCAGCGTGTGGAATCGAGTGCCAGGATCGCCAGCTGCATTCGTAAGCAATGGCAATTGCATATGGCCAATGCCGAGCCAGCGTGGAAAGATGCTGACAAGCTGGTAAACAGAAGTCCATGTTTCAAGTGGCTGCTGGGTGACAGCCCATCTGCCACAAAGAAGCTGGAGATCTGTGAATGTGGCTGGTAATTCAGCTCGCCAGGAACAGAAGAGCAAATTTGCATGATGACGTGGGTATCTGTGTCACCACATGAGCCACTTTCCATGTCAGGTCCTACCCATCTCACAACAGAAAGGAAGTGGTCCTTCCATCACATCACCAGACAGTGCAGGCGTTTGTTGTCATCAAGTTTTCAGCATACCGTCATTGTGTGCATACTGTTTCTACTTTGTACATCTGCACACACCTTGAGTTGGCAGCTCTGCATCATGTCCAGGATCATGTGCAGCGCTTGACCTTGCATGATCGGCCATACTTGCCACAAACCTGCCATCCAGCTGCCCTCTTGTTGCTGGTGATTTCGAGGGTGCAGTGCACTGCTAGCTATCCTTGTCAGTGACCAAACTGCAGCCCTGGCCACCTCGATGAATCTTCTCACCCACAAAACACAACAGTTCACTACCCATGCATGCGCATGCACAAACACATGCTCCTGTCTGAAGAGAGCAAGCAACCAAGAACCAGTAAATAGAATGTATTTGCAGGTGCAAGTCGCACCTGTCCCTACAAGAAAACTAGGACAAAGACGAATGTCCCATCACGCTGTTGACCACTCCCATGATCAACAGATTTGTGCTGCGCTAAAATTGAAGAAAAGAAATGTCCAGTGCTGGAATGGCCCTGCAATGCCACGCAACAATGGCCAAAGACTTGCACAAAAATTAGTGGTATCTGATCTGTTCAAATGCGCTGCACCAATATGGCATCAAAACCACCACCAACCTGTTCCAACAAAATGCGCTGTTAACACGTTGGAAGTCAGAAAGACACAAAGCATTCCCAGTGGAAGTGCCACAAGCCGACTCACTTTTCCTGCATCTGGAGTCGTGCCACATTTGACACTGTGACAACACAGTCGATGACCTCCTGGTCTGAGGCATCCTGGCGGCATGCCAGCTCAGCCAGCAGCATACAGCCATGTTCTTGCACCGTCAATTCATTTCCTGCATCTTCAATGCCTGCAAAAGATGCATGCATCTATGATTGTCAACCACAAGCGATGTGCAAGCCAGGTATCAAGATGCACGCCATGGCACTCATCACGATGAGCCCGCAGTTGGTGACACGAATGTGAGGAATGGTGCCGCAAGATGCACATCAAAGACACAGATGTGCAAGTCGATGCACATAAATGGGCAGTCTGCTGTACTTTTCTACTGCCCATAAGCAGGGAGTTACATGACAGGCATGGCTTGTAACCAGGTGTGCGAGTGAGGCCACAAAATCTGAACCTGTGCCCAGTGAACACTGTGGCTTGTGTGTGGTGGGCTATCAAGCGACCTGCAGGTGTGTACAGCATGTACACACTGCCACAATACAACACAGTACAATGTTGTACAGTACCGTGGACAACACCGTACATTGCAGCACTGTGCCGCACAATGCTGCCCTAGCAATACAACCTACGGTTGCTGAGGAACATACTGCATGGGGCAGCGATTGCACAATGCCACATTCAAAAACAGGAGTCAGATATTGTGTCTTGGCCTCATATATCACCAACGGTGGCCTGCGATTGTTGACATCAGCTGCTGGGGTCCCATGAGGCCAAGGCAATGTGACGGCACTCCCAGATGTGACAGGACTCGATCTCCATGGAGTGGACTGGTAAAATGCTCGCAAATTGGGTTTGCGGTCCAATATGAATTTCAAGGTTCAGGCTGGCTTGCTGTGGCCTTCAGACGCCAGTACGGTATTTAAGCAGCGGCTACTATGCCAGGGTGAGATGGGCCTCCTGCTCTTAAGTTCACAATCATGTTGGTCATATGATGACCACCAGCAAACCCTTTGATGCCAACTATCACACCAACTAAAGAATTATGCAGACATTGAACTCAGCAGCCCCCAAACCCCAACCAACGTAGGAGGTGCTTGACTTCTCTGAATCAGAACGACAGCACTAGTCATCCAGTACCCAATGCTTTGGGGGGTTTTGCAAAGACTTTCCACTGCTGCACAAGGTGGCAGACAACACGCATCTCCTCTTTCCAGGACAAAGATTGGATCTGCCCTCCTGACTTGATGCAAATGTTCAAAGTACAAAAGGAGGACTTACATAGTCTAATAATATTAAGGCCCTGATTGGATGACAATCGGGCAACATTGTTCTTGTTCATGAGGCATATGTAGTGCAGTGCTTGCACGGCATCTGCTATGGACCTCCTGCACGATTGGGCGGCAGTCTCTTGCAGCCTCAAAATCGCTGTCAGCAATGCCTCGACAGCACCACTCCCACCCAAAACATCTTGCGTGTTCCTGTGGAGGCCACACAGTGCCCAATCAGCATATCAATTGTCAATGGAGATCTTGATGGGGAGTTCGATGCAGTTCAAGCACACTACCTGCAGGTTTCTAAAGCATTACATTGCTTGCAGACTGTGGATATTCACAGTGCAGTGCATTTCCAACAGTCCAAAATGCGCTGTTGATGGCACAGTGTGACCAAGAAACATTGAGACACCAGAAGCAAGGCATGCTCCATAAGCCTTGTTCCAAAATAGGGATATATTCTGCCATGCTTTGAAACATGTTTAAAAGAACATCGCCCAAAACCAACTGTGCGTCAAAATCTGCAGCATGCCAGTTATTATCTGTCATGACTATGGACGTTTGACAGAGGTCAACAAGAACGAATTTTAACATTCATTCTCCCTGTGCACATTTCATCTGCCCAGTCATTCATCCTGCACTGGTGAAATGACAGGGACTCACTTGTCATAGAAGCTGCGGCAAGTGAGACAGCCGCTGAGGCTAAGAAGGGCTCTTATTGCTGCTGTCTGAACATTGAGATCCCGGGGGAATTGCTGCAGGGCTTCGACAACACTCTCTGGGGCGTCCTCTCGCAACTCATACTACAAAGTTCACACAAGGTCACCCTTAGTCGAGTTTAGGCTGTTGTCTCACAATGCACGAATTCACATCAGCTTGGGCAGCTGCTACTCCCTTTACACTTTGAGACAGCTGTGGCATCTTCCACATATGGAGAGTGCGCGGTGTCTTTCTTGCATTCTGCTCAGGCAATTTGGGTATGGGACATATGCCTGCTCTTGGTCGTGTTGAACATTTTGCCCACAGCATGTTAACTGCCAGATTCTGTGGCTCTCAGTTCAGGTGCCCAAGAACAGATGGTTGCTGCAATGATAATTGCCAAGGGCAACAAGGGGAATCCGACACACACAAACAGGGTAAAAAAAAGCTGCCCAACCCCACGTGCAACACCATTGCCGCTGCTCAGGCGGCACTGGGTCGAATGTTCTTGCAAGCAAAGACATGTCACAGAATGGGCGCCACCTCCCAGCCAGTAAATGCCTGGTTTTTGCCCTCATCAAGAACAGGTGGCGCCAATCACAGAATGCAGTGGAGCGGAAACACAACATGAGCAACACAAACAGCAAGAAACAAGATTCCACAGCTCCACCGCAAACCCATCAAACCACAGCTCGAAAACCGAAACACGGGGCTTCGCGGGAGCTGCAGAGCGCCCTCACCTCGCACTCCACGTCCATGCACGACTTGCAGCTCTGTCCCAGCACCTCCATGAGCTGGCACGCCCGCGCCTTCACCTGTCGCCGCAGCACAAGGCCCAGAGGGGTCGATCAGTCCCCTCCTCGTCGCACGCCACGCGCCGGCCAACTGGTGTCGCGCCGGACCCCCCAGCAGCGCTCTCTCGGGCCCAAAACACAGAAACGAAAACATCCACGACCCGCGTTGACGGCCCAGATGTCACGGCTCTATCCGCCGTACGTGGTGCCACCGTCCGGGATTCGCGACCAGCGTCGACGATCGGTGAGTCCGCGCCCAAGCCGCCCGCCCCGCGGAGACCCCCTCTCACCCCGCAGGCACGCCGCAGGCAGTCTCACCGCACCACGCGCTTCACCAGATTGGCATTCATCCAAGGAGCGACTTTCGGGCCTCGCCGCCCGGCCACATTTTTTGGCCCCAACGCCAGGCGCCCGCGGTCCCGGTGACGACGCGAGCGCACCGCTCGAGCTGCCCCCCCGCGCGCCCGGCCAGCGCCCGACCCGCCCGGTCGTCCAAGGTTTTTCCGCCACGTCCGGTGTACCGGCGGGCGCATCCCCCTGGGCCCGTGCAGCGGGGCCCCGCTGGGCTCGATCTCACCCTTTCCCGCGGCCACCACACCCGCGATTTCACCGCGGCAGTCATGCCCCACCCCAACCCACCCAACTTCCCCGTTTCGCCCTGATCTGAGTCAACATTTCCCGTCCTCGTTGGTTGGAACACCCCACGCACTCCCGGCCACGCAAAACACCTTGGGCCTTCACATACACACACACCCCTTTCCCCCCTCCCCCCTTTCCCCCCTCTTTGTAGCACTTGTGTTGTGCGCTCCCCTTGTCGCACCGGCCCTCCAAATCCTCTCCTCACAGCGCAGAAAAGAGCCTCGCGCACACTTGCCCTTGATGGGGCGCGCGCTTTGCTTTGACCCGTCTGTCATTCCCGGTGCAACAAATCTTGCCCTCCCTAGTCCCTCACACACACCCGCCCACCAGGACATGCCTTCGGGCCCTCACCTCGGCACTGGGGTTGGCCCCCAACGCGCCAATGGCGCCCGCCCACAGCCGCTTCACCGTCTCCTCCGGCCACGTCCTCCGGCTCTGCTCGCACAGCTGCGAGCGCAGCAGGCCCAGCAGGCTGGCCGTGCGCGAGACGTCCCCGCGGGTCGTCGCCTCCTCCAGCGACCGCAGCGCCACATCCCTCCCCTCCTGCGCGCCGGAGCCCCCCCCCCCCCGGCCGCCCGTCCCCGCGTCCCTTCCCCCTACCCCACCCCGGTTTGGCCCGCCCGCAGCGCAGCCCAGGCGGGGGCTATGCGGGCGCATCCCACGGTGATCGGCATCGGGGGCCGATCGCCGATCCTGCGACCCGCCGCCGTCCGCCATCGCGGGCGCCAGCTGGGCGGCGGGCCCGGCGGCGGTGATGCCGGCGGGGCCGTGCGCCAGGGGCCGGGTTATCGGAGCACCGGTGCGCGAGACGACGTTGGAGGGCGGAGCAGGTTTCGGCCCCAGGGCGGGGCGGAAGCGGAATTGGGGACGTGGATTGGGCACCTGGTAAAATGCGCAGGGAATCCCGGAATACGGGGGGCCCGCTGGCGCAATCCGAGGGCCGGATTGTGGGGGGAAGGTGGCGGGGTTAAGGGAGGGGGGGTCACCCGCTACGTTTTCCTTGCATTGTCTTCCATTTTCCTTGTCATTTTCCCAAAACGTCTCCTTCCTTCATGTTGCTTGCAATACACGGCCAAGATGAGATGTGACGAGGTGAGATGAGTGATGAGATGTGATGTGATGTAACTTGGGTTTACCGGGTACCCGAGTTTTGGGTGATGTTGGCATAAAGGATATTGTCTTGGCCCAGGCAAATTGCTTGCAGTACATTGTGTTTGATATCGAATGCGAGCAGAAGCACACCACGTGTGCCTATCGGCGACATCCAATGAATGTTTGACTGTGTTCCTTGAACTTGATGTTGGTGCCCCACAAATTTCCACATGCAGGTAATGCCTTAATACAAATAGTCTATGTGTTCGATTTTGCAAATCTTAAATTACCATCGTGGCGATCGCCAGGAATGCCCAATGGATCACTAGCAATACAAATCCTTTATTCATTACACCGTGCTTCATTTAGTATTTCTTATGGAAACTTTGCAATAAACAAACCCTATCAAGAACCTACCCCTGCAAAAAGCATTAGATCTAAACCCCATGATCAAAAGCACCAGAGCGATGCATTATATCGAGAACAAGATGAAACACTTCCTTAGGAAAAAATGTTATTTGGAAATGTGGTACAAGGTTTGGTTGATATGACAAGATTGTGGGTGTGGGGTTCCTGCCCTCTTTGAACCACGGTGTTGTGGAAACACATAGAGGTCGAGAGAATTATGGCCATTTGTCTTGGCAGGTTAGTCATTTGTGGGATTAGACCCATTATTTGGATTTTTTATGATCTCTAGGTATTCATAGGCTCTTTATTTGTGTAAATCCCCCAAGTGTAGAGTAGTGTACGGCCTAGGAAACTCCCGTACTTAAGGGATAGGCCTTGGGGGTAGACTGGGCTATGATGTATCGATAGTGGCACCAATATGGGGTATGCCGGGCGATACAATTGTGATGCTAATGTACATTGTGTGGTGTTTGTGTGACGGGTTGTGGTAATGTGGTAGCAACTCGTTGGTTTCTTGCCTTGCCGAGCGGAGCTCGGACCACCGCCAAAGTCTTGGAGGCTGTATGCGGAGCGAAGCAGAGCAGGCGGGAACGACTTTGGCGTAAGGGCCGAGCGTAGCGAGGACTTTAGCCGGAAAACGGGTTTGGCCAAAATGGAGATGCTTAATGAATATGATGACTTTGATGATTTTGGCCATCACATGTACGAGCGCCTGGCGGCAGCGCCGATTGTAGCGATCGATTGTTCTAGAGCCTCCCTGCCTCCTCGAGCGTGGCAGCCGCGCGCCTCGGATGGTACCGCACAGAGCGGCCATCACCCACGGGTGAGAGAGAGCCCGGGACACACCGTCCAGCCAAGGATGACCACGCTTCCACTGGAGAGGCCCTAGAGCGCGGGCCAGGGTACCTAGACGCGGCCAAGGGGGGACCGCGACAACACCACGGGTGCGGGCGCCAGGGGTCGTCTTCCCCTGAGTCACTGTCCCGTGGCTCCAGCGGTCATCGTCCCGCTCAGGGATGGTCTCCTTGGTGGCATGGGTTGGGATTCTCGTCCAGTCTCCTCCCCAGTGCGGTTGTACAATTCCCACCCACAGGTCGTCCTCAGGCTTAGCATCCGGTCGGACCGGGGCGTCCTCAACTCGCCGGAGTCGTTTGGCTACTCCCGTTTGTATCTAATGCTTCCTTGGACGGTTGGACTTATGGTTTGCTGTGGTTATCTCCTCCTCGCCCTCCGGACGGTCATCGGTTAGGGTGCTCCATTAGACGGGGTTGTTCTGCCGCTTTCAATGGATGATGGTGTCCGTGCACTACCTCGGGTCCAGAGCCGCCTGACGAGCCTCGGCGACCTCAATGAGGTCACCTCATGCATCCTTGCGTACACCGCCACCCAATCGTCCAGTCCTATTAGTGCGGTTGCTCGGGAATCCATCGAGGTCGCTGGGCTTTGGGTCACCTGAGTGGCTGATGGACGGCTTGAAATTCCGGTGGCAAGCAGAATTGTAGTGGTTAGAGCCACCACCAGCCCTAATAATAGGGCTCGGGTCCACAACAGGGGCCTCCACTGTTGGGCGCCAACTTGCACAAGTGCGGCGGTCGCTCCCGCTCTATTTTCTGTCATCACTTCTTACCTCAATGGGTTGGACGTGGTAGCTCTCTGGCTATCATCTTGACCTCGTGTTGACGCATCCACCCTCGTTGTTCTAATATGTTGTTTCAGTAATATGACGCCCCGGCAAAGCCTTCTTCTCGCGTGACGCCTCCCCGAGTCGGTCACCGCATCTCATGCCATGGCCCGAGGGTCGTTTGCTTCCAGCTGGACCTTGCGCTCATTGCCCCTTCGCGGTTCCTCGGTAGCAATCTTTTCTTCATTTTCTGTGGGTATTTTGGCTGCGGGAGGAGGCAGTGTTCCTTTTGCTTCCTCCACCAGCGACGGGTCATCATAGTCGTCAGCCATACTTCGACGGGGGAGTTGGTCCTCCACTTCATCGACATCATCCAATTGGAGCAGTTTTCGGCCATCAAAATTGTTTCTTTCTTCGACCTTCTCTCCAGCTGCCTTGAGACACTGCCCTTCACTTCCCGTGTTGTGCGGTTGAGGCAGAACGGTGTTCCAATCCTCGGTGGTCCGTTCCCGTGGCTTGCCCGTCACTGTGTGCTCACGCAAATTGTTGTAATCTTCTCCTTTTGTATGGTTTGGAGTCTCTTGATTCATAGCAGATTCGCAGTTGGCACAAGGAATCGCCAAATCATCAGACTTATCAAGGCTTTGGTCCATCTCTATAATCCTTTTCGCTCCACTTTTGCAGTTATTACAATAGGTCATCAAGCTACTAGGGTCGTCAAGGCCATCACAGTTGCAACGGTCGTCACTTAGGTTACTCATCCCTCGTATTTCTTGTTCGTTCTCTTTATGCATCAGTTCAAGTTGCTCAGCAGCTGTGGTTGGCTCATAGCAGTCATGCCCATCTCCTAGGGCTGGTTCCTTGCCCCCGTTGTGCTCTGTTGTTTCGTCATCACTAGTTGCTTCTTCCCGTTCCCGTTGATTACATTGTCCAGCTTCCCTACTGACGAGCAGCTCGCAGTCAGCCTCCCGGCTTGACGTCTGCTGCAGGGACGTCACCGGTAATATGATATCTCCATCGATGGTCATCTCGTGATTCATCCAGTTTATTTCCGGTTGTGTTTCTTCCAGCCACGGAATACCCAATATTAGATCGAAGGCCTTGATGGGTAGTTCTGCCACCGAAATCGTAGTCTTGTAGTTGCCAAGGACATACTCTTTTCTGTGATGTCTAACAGCGCTCTCAACCCTGGTTCCATCCACCAGCCTGATGTTAGTGTTCTTGATTGCTCTCTTGG